CAGAGCAAGAATTGCACATCTTTCTTTATAGGGCCAATTCAAAGCCTACCATTGTTCCACATTAGGGGGACACTGGCCCCACTCAAGTCTCCGCCAAGAGCCCGGAGACCCTACGACTGCGTCAGCGCCAAGCCTGATCTGCCTCTGAAGCACATGAAAGAAAAGAGGTTAGCTTTTGATGTCGCCTGACTTTGCCTACCTACTGTCCTTTTAACCCCCACAGAGAAAGAGGATCAAATGCTGTACTCCCTGGAAGCTGTGCTGTATGTGCACTTTTAAAGTTCAAAACCATTTTTTCCTTCCTTCTTTCTCTCAGATGGGACAGAAGAAAAGGTGAAGTCCAGTTAAAGCTTTCTTCAGCTTTTGATATGGCGAGGGGATTGTAATTCAGCTGGGAAACACTATAAGTAAGGTCCTATTGTTTCTTACTTCACAAGGCAGTGGAAATCCCAGGCCTGCAGTGAAACTAAATCATGAGTGTTTCTTATTAGATTCCCATTCAGAGGCCAGGCACCTTGACAGTCCACAGGGAATTGTGGAAAATATTTTTGAAGCAATGAGATGTATTTTGTGAACAGCCACTCCATGGATGGGTGAGCTTATGAAGTAAGAACAGGACAATTTCCAGATCATCCCATCTAACAGGACTCACCCTAGATGGGACGCCAGTACATTGCAGAGCAGACAAACACAAACACACACACTTGCACCAGGGCCATTTTTCCGAGAAGAGAATTAATCTACCAGTGTGTCTTTGGACTGTGGGAGGAAACCGGAGAATGAGGAAGAAAACACAAATCCAGTCAGACCATACAAACTCCACACAGACAGCACCCCAGCGCTGTGATGCTCACCATTTCAGCAGCCTGCCGCCTGCGTCTGCCGGGCTTGCTGCTGTATTCAAACATGCTCATAACTTGTAGCGTATCTAAAACTAAGCGGCTTGGATTTAACACAAAACATAAAACTAAAATGCATGAGCACTTCTCTCCTGTTTCAGGTTCCTTGCGCTGGCTCCCTGTGAGATTTCAGAATAAAACTTCAAGTACTGCTGCTCACTCTTGAATAGTTGAGCTCGTGACTACAGCAGTGATTTGTTATCCCATACACTCCTCTTTTTCAGTAGGACTGCTCCTTTCACGTACCTGTCGCCTGTGTTCTTCTTTTGGTTCCTAAAGCCCATGCTTTCTGTTCTGTCTCTGCTAGGCTGTGGAACGATCTCCTAGCGCATTTGAGATGTTGCAAGACAGCCAGCTTTCAGATCCTTAAGACTTGCTTTCATATACTAGCTCTCATTTCTGCTGCCTTTTTTGTGTGTAGTTGTGCTCGTGCGTTTCTAATGTTTTTTTGTTTGTTTATTTACAGAGGCGGAGATGTTGGGACATGAAATGTTTAAAATGATAATTGTGATACATATTCCACTTCACATAACTCTGGATGAACTGTGAAATGTTTGGTGCAGACAATGGGAATAACAGAAATGCTAGAATGTTTGACTGTTTCCAGCTTAGGCTGAGGTCTAATACACAATACATAACAATTAAAAACTATGATTGGCTTCTCCAAAATGATGCAGCTCTGCTCTGCTTTACATCTCCAAAAGGACAGTGCTGTGCACTCCGGCTCCCCCACAACTCTGAATTGGAAGAAACGGTTAGAAGATGGATGGTCTCTTTTGGTTTAATCATTAGTTTGCTCATTGACGGTTTAATCCTAATAGGTTTTTGAAATGTTTAAGCATTTAGATGGACATCTTCCTTATTCCTCACAGTGCTGCTTAAATGGTACCTCTGAAGTACTGAGAGACAGATGGACAGTCAGATGCAGTTGTTCATTTCACACCTCCTCAAAGAAAAGGAGGAAGTGACAACAGGGGCTAATTATCAGCATCCCCGTCACACCTACATGCGAAAGTGGAGCAAGCTACACTACTCAGGAAGGAACACTCACCCCAGCTGCAAAATAAACCTTCAGCAGCAAGTGCACTTTCAAAGAAAAAAAGACCTACACAATCCTTCAAACATCCAACATACAATCTAGAAGTTTCAAATGACAATATAGCTTTTAATTATATTTGATAAAGATAAAGAGTAAGTTACTAAAGGATGGATTGGAACCGGTTATTCTGTCCTTCATACAGGACACATGGCCCAGTACATATTTGCAGATAATATTTATTCTTTGTGTGTAAGCTCATTTGCATTAGGCTACAGCCATACGATAAGATTCACTGCCCTCCTAAAACAAATACAGTAGGCTGTGTTTGGATCTGATATGTGTTCTTTAATTAAAAGTTTTCAAACAAACTAACCCTCATTGCACCATTCTACAACATACTGACAAACAACATCTGACACACTTATATTGTGTGTACTATATTCACACTACCAAGAAGAGCTTACAAGAGGCACATTTACTATGAGCACAGCTCCAAAATATTGACAAAATGCAATGTTGAACGGCTCCTGCATTTTCACCAGCACACTTGAAAAGGGACGGAGATGGACCAAGTGGATGACATCCCATATGTAAATCACATTGGAATCCTTTGGGATGAAAGGATGATGATTTGGCAGAAACGGCAACAGCTGCAGTGTGCACATTTTCACTTGCTGGTCTTGTTCATTTTGATCTATCTTTGAACTGGCAGCTTCAGCAAAAAAGAAATTCACAAGGTGGACATCTCAGCATCAAGTGTACATTAAAGGGGAACTGCAACTATTTTTCTATTTTGGGGTTAGAAAGATTCGGCGTTGATGAGTGCACTTCAATTAAAGTAAATTGGTTTTACAAGTTACATCACAAAATAGAAAAAAATTCCAGGTATGCACGGTGCCATACTCTACAATTCAGAACGAGGCAACAAAACTTCCTATGATGTGAAGTGGCCCTGTTACATTGTAAACAAGCAGACTTCTGAGTACGTCTCTTTTAATCCAATAGAAAAATTGCTCTTGACTTCGAGATGGTTTTCCCGACCTATACTACTTACCTCTTAACCCTGCGTCCCGATCACATCGGAACATTTCTGCGGTGACAACCTGTTCTTATTCGCTTGTACATCTTATTACATTAGACATCACAGTGAGCTAGTGACTAGTGAGCAGGAAGGGCTGCTTCACATCACAATTCGTGGGAACTCTCACTCTTGCTCCTGGTGAGACCAGGGGTTTGCTACACCATGGCAACTTACAGTATTTTTACAACTTTGTCTTAAACTCTGAATTTGTAAATTGTTGAAATACCATCAATAACTTTATTTTGTTACAGTTTAATAACTGGTTTGAGAAATTGAGACTGCAGTTTCCTTTTAGTACAGACACTGTACGTTACAGGCTTTTCTCCACCTAAACAGCAGAACAAAGCCCTTAAATAGTCCGAGGTGTTACGATTAGCCAAGGATGAAATACCCAGGCCAAGAACGGATTCATCGTTGAGGCACAAAGTAAATATACAGGGATAAAAAAAGTCTGGCACAGGCGACACGTCCCAAACTGAATTAACGCCTCGGGAGTATTGCCCCACTATACTCAAGCAGGCAGCAGAAGTCAAGTGCCTCTCCTGCGTTCGTCCCCTGTGATGTCTTTGAAGTCGAGACAGATGTGCCTCCCTCTCGCAGTCGTGAGGGAGCATGCTGGTTCCCCGGCAAGAAGTGCCCGTCCGGCAGGAGAAGAATCCTTTTGTTTGCTTCCCAGGCCTTTGATAGCATGCCAAAAATGTTTAACCAGGGCCAAGGGGCTGTGATTCATTTTAATTAAAATATGAATGTCTTGCTTTAGCCCTCTTTTAACAATAATATGCACACAATGCCATAAAATATTTCCATTTCCAGAAAGTCACATTAAATTGCTAACTGCTTCCTGCAGCCTCTGCGCAAGAGAAAAATAAAGATGTGGCATCTTGGCATATTCCTACAGCTGGGGAACAGTGGACAGTGTGTAGTTCTACATGAAAGTTGCTCATTTTCACATATTGATATTTTATAAGGATTTGAAAGGTCCCTCTTGGAAGCCCTTCCGTTCAGTTTGGCCCCGTACCACCACTATTTAACTTATTTTAATTGACTGACTTGTTTTTGTTGATTCATTACACAGAACTACAATTTTAGAAAAGCAGTCTATAAAAAAGACAATATTCTCTAATGCAGAATTATTTTCTGTGCTACATTCTAAAACTCAACCTAAAAGCAAAAAGACATACTTTACTTTTAATTCTCTCCCACCTATTTTTCACTTAACACACATACAGCTCCAACACTCAAAATGTCCGTGATGACCGATCCAAAGTGACTTAGTGAGCAAACGACACATCTACTACTAGTTACATAAAAAAGATACGTTACGAACAAGAAAAAGGTCCAACAACCTCACAATTCTAGCAAGTTGGAATTGCTAACTTTAAAATGGATTTGATGCAGCACAAAAGCAGCAACTCTCCTCTGACAGACCACACACACAGTAAAGCCCACCTGGAGTCTGTTTTGTATAGACAGCAACTTTTCTTTAGCCCAATCAAAACAAAAGGCTCCAACAGGCCAAAACATTACAACATTACAAAACATCACAATAACCCTAAAGGTGACACTCGTATGATACAAATACCTAATCAAAATATTTTCAAAAGGCAAATCCAGAAAAACGTGATGCCGTAGTCCTGTGACTGATAAAGAGCAGCGTACACTGTAGCTTGCTGCCTCCACGACACTGCAGGTTGGAATCAGGGACCCAATCTGCCACAACTACATCTTTAAATATGAAGAATGAGAATATCTTCCTGATGCAGTCAAGGTGATAACAAATATTCTTAAAAATGATATTTCAGTGCCAAGGATAGGACAACATTTCAGAAATAAAGACAGTGTACAGTAGATGCTTCCTGAAGCACAGCAATGTTCTGTGAAACTGGGAGATTTTCAATTTTAAAGTAAAAAAATGAGAACATCATGGAAGGTGCGGCACTTAATAAACCATCTGTACACTGAGAAATGCTCCGTGACTTACTGTGAGATGTGGGTGACTGGAGTCAGGACACTGTCCCCCTCTAAGTCCAGATCGTCTCCAAAGCTGTTGGTGCGGTGAATTGGTCTGGGTGTCTGAACATCCAGAAAACCTGCATTTTTCTTGACTGAAAAGCAGAAACATTAAGACATAAAAATGAAAGAAGATAGGAAATTCAAGCAGATAACACAGATATTTCAGGTAATTTGGAACACTTCAGCCACAGCAATATTTGTCATCATATTAGTGTGATCTAGAGTTCCTGTCCCACATTATTCTTATTCAAATCAAAATCTTTCTGCTTCTTTCAGAATTCCCCCCCTTGGTTGGTTTACAATATTTGATCTTTCAATAGAAAGTCATACTGTATGAAAAACTTGCAGCCATTCAAATTCCATGATTACCACATTTGTGCCCTTATTTGAGTGCTCTGTCTTTGTCTTTATTTGGTATAGGACATACAAGATGCTGAAACTGCTGCTATGTGTATCCATACATTTCTGATGCAAGAGAATGCTCAAATTGTTCGTTCAAATGACAGATTAGTTGACAGCACAGTCCAGTTCAGTTGTGTTTCTCACGTGCAGACAGACGAGAGAGTGCTAGACAGGCAGAGAAGACAGAGAGCAGAGTTACCTGGCGAAGGAGAGCCAAGCTGAAAGGAGGATATTGAAGTCCAGGACTGCTGGCGTCCTATAGCAGCAGTAAACACACAAGACAGCGAAACAACAGCCAAGAAGGTCAGGCACAACCGACAGAGAACACATCACCACAGCAAAATCTCTAGGACAGAGGAAAAATCAGAGGGAGGAAAGACCACTTTAAAGGGATGAAAGAAAAGGAGTTCCTGGACACTCCACTCACTTTACAGGTAACGGGGACTCCCCTCCACCACCACCAGTGTGCAGCCCCACATGGATGATGCACCAGTACGCTCCCCACACACCACCTCTCAGTGGGGAGGGGAGCAGAGTGATGAAACCAGTTCATATTTGGGGATACTGTGACTGGTAAAAGCCAGGGGGAGATTTGAACAAATACACGCGGGTATCTGCCTCAGCAATGGGCAATGTGAGTGTGGATCTGTGAAATGAGAGTGGCACAAAATACGCAGCCCAAGAAGGAACAATATCATCACCTGTGACACTGAGTAAAACAGGTTGGTGGCTGACAGAAACCTGATAGATGCTGTACCACAGCAGCTCCCTGAGCCTCGAGATTGCACAATACCATCTGGTTATAAGGACAACAAGAAAGAAAAGCTTGGCAGACCACTGCAGGAATTATTAATTCATCTGGAAAGTGCATTTAAACCCCTCGCAAAAATGAAACAAATATTTTTACAGTTTCGTTTGTAGCCAGCTGGAGACAGTGGTGCGTCACCTTGCAATGTGAGCGAAAACATCTGTGGCCCATACAGAAGGCTTCTAAAGCAGATGCCAGTTTTTCCAGAGAGCGCAACAACACCACAGTATTTAGAAAACTGGAACAACAGGCTCCACTAATGGGCAAAGGATCCCAAACTGTGGCTTTAGTGTATTAGGAGAAGTCAGTGACAAGGGAGATCAGGATAGCCCAGCCGGACCCCGGTTCACACAAGGTCGAGCTGTACTGATTCATGTATTCGCACGTCAGATGATATGACCATTGATTTAAATCTTGCAATCCCTGCTTCATGTTTACAGCAGAGCAACTATTGACTTTGATTATTGTCAGATGCTCAGACAGTCATCAGTCAGGTAGTTTAAGCTTCCAGTGTTAGCATCACCTCTCACTGCCACAGATTTTCCATCATTTATGGTCGATTACATCTGTGGCACGGCTATAGAAGGAAACTGGAAATGCAGTGACCAAAACAGCGAAGGCATTAGTTTAATACCCTGGTCTGGAGAAGAGAAATCCCTGATAAATTAGTGGTGAGCAGTCCTGGTCCTGGAGGGCTTGTGTCTCTGTAGCTTTTCTAGGTCTTTGTTAAGGAGTAACTGGTCCCATTAATGAGGTGGTTTAAGAGGTCCCATTAAGAGCTGAGCTACAATTAAAACCTGCAGAAACTCCGGCCTCCTCTCATTGATCTATTATCTATTGAGAACCATTTATTAAATCTGCTCTGATTAAATTTGTTTAGCTCACCATCAAACTTTCACATAACTAAGCTCATATTGTCTATAATCTATGTATTTGTGCATATGTGCACATTGATGTTTGTACCTATGTTTTTAACGAGTAGGCTGTTTATTTATAAGGCAGAGCGAGACACATCTGTGTGAGTTTCTAGGGTCCACTGATGTCTTAATTATACCATGAACACATAAATATTAAAGAAACAATAATTATGAACTTCAATATAATTTTGTAGTTTTAAATCTAAAATTTCTCATCAACAATGTTGATGAAATGTTTCATATGATATATTCCAATGTTTGTTGAAATCCAAACCGAGCAGTAATTACAATCAGGAATTAGACTGATGTACAATAATATACACCAGGGCCACTGTTTTCCCCAATGTGGGAAGGGTTACCTGGATTCTTCCTCAGTGTTACCAGTGTTTTTCTAGACCTCCCAAGGTTAATTCATCAAATCTCAGCCGTCTCTCAGAGCAGAAAGGCAGTACCTGATATATTTAGACAAAGCAGAGCTAAAACTCTTCTTACCTGTTATTTTCAAAGCATCGGGTTCACCTGTAAACTTGCAACAGAGGTGCACAGGCAGGCAGGTACAGAATTGAGGGAAGATACAAGAAGGGAAGCAAGAGAAAGAAGAAGGAAGTCAGGTAATGACAGAGCGATACCCCATACACCAAGCACGGTTTCAAGGGAGAAAGCCCAGCAAGAGAAGGCAACAGAAGCTGGACTGTGGCACCTTTCTTTCCTACATGCAGAACAGTCAATCCGACCATCCATCCATTACCTACAGCGAGTCGTGGGCCAGTTCATCGCAGAGCACACATACGGATATTTTAGAGATGCCAATGAACCTAGACAGCACATCTTTGGAAATTGGGAGGAAACGGCAGAACAGGCACAACCCCACAAGAACACGAGGAGAATGTACAAGCTTCACACAGAAGGTGCCTAGGAATGAAATCGAACCCAGAACTCAAAGGTTGTGGGACAAACAGCACTATCTGCCATGCCTCTGTTCGACAAGACAACAGAGTGTCGTACTCTGTTACACAAAGGTGCTCAGATATTATATTTGTTTAATATGGGTGTTCAAGTACAGTGCTTGTTTGTTATACACGGGCGCTCAGATGTTGTACACATCATACAAGCGTGTTCAGATACAGTGTTTGCTAGACAGAGGTGTTCAGATGTTGTAATTGTTAAATAGGTGTGTTCAGATACTATGATTGTTATACAAAAGAGCTCAGTTGTCGTACTTGTCATATAGGGGAGTTCAGATACTGTGTTATGGAGTCGCCCTGTTGCTGTATGTGTTTTATGTGGGTGCTCAACTACTGTACTTGTTGAAGACAAGTACATGAAGGTGTTCAGTCCTTTATTAAAGCATTAAAAGTATGTTACAAATAATGATCTGTCCAATATGAACTCATAGCTTGTCTTACCTGTTGAGCTGTTATACGTGTCAACACTGTTGTGCTCTGGTTTTCGGTTGTCAAAAACGTGATCATACGTGATGCTAGGAATGGTGGGTGAGTTAAGGCCATTGTCCTTCTCGCTTTTCAGCTTCCTCCGAACCTTCACCTGAAAAGAGCAACAGAAACTCCAGAGGTACAATTCAAGCTAAAATTAATTGATGGCCGGGTATCTCTGCGCCTGGTGGGATTTGTCAGTAGTGGTCTGGGCCTTGGTTTCAAATGTATCCTGATTCAGGAGTTCTCAGTCCTGCCTCAAGGAAACCCTTGTGTCTTCTGTTTTCTGCTCCCGTCAAATTCTCAATTTCTCAACCATACGCTAATTTATTTAATTTTATGGACCTTTTTTTTACATTTGCTTCCAGTTCTTAAAAAGTTGAATAAGACTTGCATTTCTTAAGAACTCTGGGCTAACTAGTGAGCTTCAGGACACCATGCATTCAGGTGTGCAAGCTGATATATATCCAACTGGCCTTCAGCAGAAGGAAAGACACAGCCTCTCTGTGAGTGTTCACATTCCAACCAGTGTCATTCACACACGTTTCTGTTCATCCATCAACTGATCACCTAATAATACACTTTAAATAGTGTACTTTGAAAATCAAGCACCGTGTATGGAAAAAAGTCTACACCAGCAAGCTGAACAGTTGCAGGAACTATTTAGCACTGATGATCCTGGACCCTACTGGAATAAAAACGAGACACAGGATTAATCTAGGAGCAAGACTGAGAACCCCTGATCTATGAAGCCAGAGCATGGACTCACTCCTAGAATGTTTTATAGGTTCTCTGACCAGGAGGTTCTCAAGCTTTTTTATAACAAACGATCGAGGACTGCCACAACAGGGCTCACTAGAACAATCTGACTCTGATGACAAACACACCACACTTCCACCGTGTAGGAACGCCTGCTCACAGAGCCCTCTTGAACACCCACACAACAAGGATTTCTCATGGTCGTTAGGAAGCTAAAGATCCCATCTTGCATTTCCAGGCTATAAACGTCTTTGTGCAGGATGGTCCCAACACTAACCGTTTTCCTGGGTCTGGGGCTGGACACCACGGATGAGTTGGACACAACGGACTTCTTCACATACAGCTTGAAAGTGGCTGAATCTGGGTTCTCGGCAGCATAGCACCTCCAGGAGGTCTGTGGAAACAGCGCAGAGGATTCCAAGTGGTGAGGGAAGAGTTTCACCAGTTTGAGCAGAACTGGAAATAAGTGCTGTAAAGTTATTAGAAAGATAGAGTTTTAAAGAGAATAATCATGAGGATCATCATTTTGAAGAGGATAATCAAATTATTACCCTGAAATATTTTGTAAATGTGTCATTTGCATTTGATACATCAGTCTATTCTCCCTTTCACACTACAGAGTCAGAAATGGAAGCAATAAAAAACACATATAATCCTCAAAGCTTTTAGGGAGGATACATAAAGAATTTAATTTTCAAAGCACACCTGTATGAATATTGTCCAAGTTTTGATGTCTTAAAACAAGGTTTCAGATGTTGTCCAGCACAGTGGTAATCCATTACTTCAGCAGTTCTGTTTACTTTCTTACTTCTGTGGACTGAGATTCTACACTATGTACCGATAGACATATCTTTATTTTTCACTCTGAACTTGTGCGCAGTGAATTGATTTTTATTGTTCTATGTTTCCGAACAACCTTATGGTAGAAATATGCCCTAGAAGCCGGCAGTGAAGAGTTCTAAAAAGATGGTGGCTCAGGAACTCGAGCAAACAGATGGCACTACTTTCGAGGAGGCTCTGAGTTTCACCTCTATACTTCAGAGTGATGACATGATGGTCATGTCATCACAGTGTCGTCAAAAGCAATTCAAATGCTGACAAATGAACACAGGTCTGAAACAGCATGTAAGAGCAGAAAAGGCTACATGGGTAGTGCAATGAACCGGAGCAAACTGCCCTTGCTAAACGCTATCTGTAGGACCTCACCTGTATAAGGGAAGCAGCTGCCGGTATCTGTCTGTTGAAGTGTTTCTGTCTCTGCTTCTGCTGCACCTTGAGAGCAAAGCCAGAGCCCAGGATTCCCTACACAGAAGGCCAGAGAGCGTGGTTTAGCACCAGCCTTCTCACAGAGCGCCATTCGGGGGACACATCCACACGAATACACTATCACCACACAGGCAGCTTCATCAGAATAAGGCTGCAAGGTGTTACGCACATTGCAAGCATCTGACATTTTCTGTTATTTTCTTAAACAAAACAAAAACCTGATTTTGATTGCTTATTTTTGAGACAATGCCACACATACAGTGCCTATAGAAAGTCTGAACACCCTTTCCAAAGAAATATTAAATCAGAATCTATTGAACCTTTATTTACACCTTGTAATGCACAGCCTCCAAGTGTACAACAAATGCTAAAACATTCTGAACAGTAATTACTAGAAAAGTGGGCTGGATACAGTAGGTTTACATCCCCCCTTCAGTAACAGCAATTGTAAATTAACTTTGGTGTAACCAATCACGTTGAAAATCACACAGCAACCTAATCAGCCTCCCCCTGTTCAATTGTTGTGATTCTGATTATTTCAGAATAAAAGCAGCCATTCCTGCAGGTCTCCTCTGCTGGGCAGTGCCTCTCAAAGTAAAGAGTCAACTATGGGCAACAAGGAGCTGCTGTGTCAACAGACCACTGGGATGGCTTTTTTGTGTCTGGGTTGAAGTAACAAAAATAACAAAATGTGTTACTTTGGTAAGGCTGTGTAGACTTCTATAAGCACTGTATATAGAATGCACATGGTTGGTAATTTTTCAGAGATTTTGACTGCTGCTTACTTACACAGAAGATAAGAATATACAGTTACATCCTTCCTCATAGGGTTTATTCTAGAAACAAATTCGACATTAACATTTTCTATGAAAACAAACACTTCATTCATCTGACCCATTTCCTGATGAATCCAATTAATAATATTAAAGGAACCAACTTCCACTGGGAATGAAAACAAAACAAAACCAAGAGCAATTCATAACCTGACATTTCACAAATGTTTGTCACACTTCTTTCAGCACTACAACGGCAAAATATGGGTAAAGGGTGAAGCAAAAGCATCTGGAACAATAATGGGAAACTTCTGGACAATGAAAGGGAAATGGCCCGTGTACCAAGTGAGTATTTTACTCACTTATTTCATGTTAGAGTTTGGACCGAGAACAGACAGTACTGATAAGGGGGCATACTCAGATATGGGTGGCATAATTTGTATCCCTCAGGGATCTGTACTAGGATCCCTGCTCTTCTTAATTTATAGCAATGATCTACTGTAGATTCTGATACAGTTAGTAAACTACTCATGTTTGCAATATCAAATTAGGAGGATTAGCAAAAACTGTAAAAATTAAATTAAAAAAGATTTACATGAAATTCAAGACTGGGCAAATGTGGCAGATGACATGCAAATTGCAGTGCATTACACACAAAAAAATAATTTACAAATACAACATAGAAAGCACTGAACTTGAGGAGACCACTTTTGGAAAAGCCTTGGGGGTTTATACTGAAACATCATTTACATCTTCTAGACCGGGGTCAGCCACCTGGCACACAAGGGCTTTTAAAGACACGTGCATGAAAGCAACGAGTGCAAGAAAAGCCTAAAAAGCCATGAAGAAATTAAGTTAAAAATGCTAAAAACTACACCTGACTGTTCTGTAATCACCTAGACAATTTTATAGCAATATAAAATTTAAACAAAATGTTATATATATATAGTCAGGAGCATATAATTAAAATCTGATGTTACAATCTACTAGTAAGATTCCATTTACTGTAGAGTACTCATGTACCATTTTGGTCACCATGTTATAAAAAACAGATATTGCTGATCTGAGAATAGTCCAGCGAAGAGCAACGAGATACATTCTGGGGCTTAATGGAATATCCTGCATACTTACAGGTTACAAATACTGAACTTTTTTACTCCTGAACAGAGAAGATTATCAGAGGACCTAACCTGTGGTTGTCAGATAAAGATCGAAACCTCGATACTACATGTGTGATAATGACAAATGAAATGTTAAGACATTATTTGCCGATTAAATGTCAGTTTGGACTGATTCCTGTCAAAAACCTTTGTAGGCTCTGGATGTCGGGGGATTGTAAAGTTCTCGTTTAAAACTATTAGCCTAATTACATGGTTTAACTTGCAGAACTACAAAAAGGGCTTTAAAGGAGTGACTTACCGCTGGGAGAGCGAAGAAAGAAATGGCGAAGACTGAGAAGCAGGATGCGATGGTCTTTCCTACCCACGTCTGGGGCACCTTGTCACCATAACCTATGGTTGTTACAGTAACCTAAGGGAAGAGTATAGAGACCAGTAAAAAAGACATTGCATATATCTTCCAAGACATACAAATGCATACAGGACAACAGGAAACCATTAATATCAGCTATTATCAGTGTAACAGATGTTGTAACATAGAAGTGTAATGTTGTTTGACCTCGGGACACAATCTCCTAGTGAAGAGAGTGTTATTGAGCACCATCTGAGAACCTGCTGTTAAGTCATAGTGAAGAGTGTTGAAGTCTGTATAAGTCTGCTTATTGCAAGTTACCACAATCAGTACCAGAAATACCAGGTAGCTGAAGGAACATGGTTCAGAAACAGATTATTAACTTTCATCTTGACTTTCATTCCAGCAGAACGGGTCAATAAATTCCTAGCCTATAGTGAATCAAGAGGTCACTACTGTATATCACATAATGATTTTACATGGGGTTTCTGTCAAAAACATCTAGAACAAATGCTAGCAAGTACTTCTACAGTATACTGTATACAGTATCCATCCTTCTTTCCTTAGGTTTTGACAGTCCATCAAGGCCATACTTTTTGGGGAAGTGAGCTGTATCCTATTGGTGCAGAAAAAACTGAGACATTTTAGAATGGGGACAAAAATGTCCAGTACATTTTTTCCAAGATATACTGATGCATTTCTGTCAGCACGGTGGTGCAGTGGTTAGCATTGGTGTCTCGCACACTGGGGCTCTGGCTTCAATTCTGGACCTGGCAGCTGTCCATGTGGAGTTTGTATGTTTTCCTCAAGTTCATGTGGGTGTCCTCCAGGTGCTCTGGTTTCCTCCCACAGTCCAAAAACATGATGGTAGGTAAATTGGCTTCTGGGAAAACTGGCCCTGGTGTGAGTGTGTGTGTCTGTGATGGACTAGGGTGCTGTCCGGGGGTGTGTGAGTGTTTGTGATGCACTAGTGTCCTGCCCAGGGTGTACCCTGCCTTGCACACATTGCTTGCTGGGACAGGCTCCGGCTCTCCTGCGACCTTGTATTGGTTGAAGTGGTTAGATAATGAATGGACTGCGGTGTTTCAGCATTACAGTCCGCTTATAAAGCTGGGAGAGTTTATAATCCTCATGTTTCCACTGCAGGGCCTTGCATTCCCACTGAGAGCTGCTGGGCACACACACTCAGACACCGCAGACGTGGGGGTGGAGGTGATTGGGGAGAAGTTCGTGTGAGGACAAAGGCCAGAGATCAGCCACGATGAGTCAGTCTCCCAGCCAGGGCTCTCTAGTCTGCCAAGTCAGGCTCTGCCTGTGTAAACGGCACCCGCACTCAGACACACTCCAAGAGGGCTGACAGTCGGAGTGCTGCATGGCTCCTAGGTCTTTCGGAAACAAAAGACACTTAAGTGGCGCTTCTGATACTGCCCAAGATCCACTGACATGTTGCTCATAGCCGAGACTAAAATCTCTCACTGTAGAGCTGTGCATTCTCTGATTTTTCCCAGGAAGATGCTTTTGTGCTACAATAGTAAAGGCATTGTTTGTAAACACAAGCTATTCTGTAATTCGCTCGACAGACTGAGCGGGTTATAACCAGGGTTTATTAATGCCAGAAAACAATCATTACTAAGTCTGAACAGTACCCAACTCTTCTTCTACTGGATTTTTGTTGTATTCTATTTTCGAAAAAGAATTCTAGTTCTAAAAAAAGGTTGTCTGGTGGGACTGACTGTTTATGCTATAATAGATATTTAATAGTATTTGCACTACAAATACATTCTCCTGTTCAGAAAAAAAACAAGGTATTTCAAAGACGAAATGTCCTTTCAAACTGAGTTCTTCCAATCGGCTGAATTAGCGCTGATTTGAAAACAAACCATTGTGAAGAAATATTTTGTTAATGTCAGACTGAAGAAGCCGAATGCCTCTTCAAATTAATGTTCAAACTACTGACTCATTAAGGAAACAAAAAATGAGAACAGTTTAATGATTTATGAAAGTAGTGATGTAACACTCAGCAGAGGGGCTAAATGCATGATGATAACTAATCCACCCAAATGTATCCATTGGTCCATTACCAGCACAGCAGTTATTCCTCCACAGGCTGGAGACGCATAGCAAAGAGTCACTTTGAGTAAGAGGACTGTTTTCTACAATTATTAAATTAAGCAAACATACTACATGGAAGTATACTTACAGCCACGGTCACTATTTCTAAAGGAAACTGAGAGAAATCCATTTTCCCTAGAAACTCCATAATTATAGATTACAATACTTACACTAATATTTGAGTTACAAAATATTTAATATTTAATACGTCTCAACTAATTACATATTGTATGATCATTATGTGAATTAGCAATTCTGTGATAAAACCATTTTCAGGGATTCATATTATCATCAAACCCGTTAATAAATCCCAGCCATCCAGAGCATAAAAATACGTTTATTTGTATTGAATGTTCCCAAAAAGCCATAAAACTAATGACATTGATACCATCTAACAGTGAACCCGATCTCATTTTCTTAGCTATAATAACAGGCATTTCGAAGAGAATGTGCATTAGTTCTTTTATTGTACAGTATATAATATGAACAACAGATTTGGCCATTTGGATGTTGGATTTAACAGACTATAAAATATTGATTTAGAAAAGTATGATTTAAGAGAAAAATTACGTTTTTCTTCTTCTTCATGACACTTCATCTTTGTTTTTTTGCTTTGCAGGGTCATAAAGATAGCTGATGACAAAAGATTGCTGGCATTCTTAAGTAAACATCTTTCCAAATACGAACACTTTTTTCAAAATTCACAGCTGTTGTTGTGTTGATGCAGGATTTGGTGGTTTGGATGTTTTTGTTTTTCCTTTTTAAATATAATATAATGTTTAACTTTAATTAACAATTGTATTATGTACTGTTGCACATGCAGCTGAGTCTAAGCCTTTTGCAAATTGTAATGAAGCTTTTATAAATTTTAAAGCTCCCGTCTGCAGCTGGACTAATACCCAGTACACGAATCTGATAAGGAAATTAATGGGTGTGATACTAACTTGCCCAAAGCTACAGTGGAATATGAAACCTTGGCTAAATCCCTAACAACTGGGAAGATGCTCTGGGATCAGGTTTGTTTGTTTGTGTTTGCAGTTTTAACAGGAAACAGGAAAACACACGCCCCTGGCTTAAAAACAGCATGATACAGCGATAGTCCGGGAAATGGGATCCCACAGCACTGATCACTGAATGAAGATACAAGCATTATTCTAAAGACAGGGAGACAAACAGCTAAGTGAGAATAAAAGTCAGGCTGATTTCGATTAAGGCTAACTGTGCCTAAAAGGGACCTAAGGGGCAGAGAAAACCTGAATTATTGGCAAAATGAACTGAAAGACGTTTTAAACCCGGTCTGTGTGATTTTTGGCACGGTCACAATTGCAATTTTCTTCAATAACCAATACAAATTCAACAGATTTAACAGACTTTTGGTGGAGTTCAACACTACAGATTGGCAGTTGTGTGCATTTTAAAAATGATTTCTTGGCTTAATTTACAGTAACTCTACTAATTTCCTGTGTTTGATTTTTGTCCTGCTAGACCTTAATAACCATTTTAAAAAGCACTTTCAGGTGTTCATCATGAAAGGAGATTCCATAAAATATGAGCTGATCCATTAAAACACAAATATCCATCCATTCTATTTCCTAAATGTTCATCCAATGCAGGGTCTCGATGGAGAAGGAGCCTATCCTGGGGACACCGTAGATAGGATGCCAGGGTACACACTATGCGTGACTGTGCTATTTCTTTAATACTCATGATAGCAAGTGGTACTGCAGCAAAGGTGTCCTAATGGATTGACACCTTTAAGACAGTATGTAAATTCAGTGGAAATCGCAAGTAATACAATACAGTAAATACAAGTAATTGGCAAGCAATTACCCACAGTGAACTGGATTTGCCAAGCAATAGCGTTTTAATGGCCTAGATCCTGCACGACCCCTGTGAGATTGCGGTGATGTCACAGAAAAACATACAGCACTTCTCATCAGTGCTCTCTCCTCTAAGCCCTGAGTCAGTGACAAGCGGCAGTGTCAGAATTCAGGGGGGTGTCAATTATAAGGGGGTGTGGCACCAACAGGTCATGTGAGGGTGATAAGGGGCGTGTCCATGGCAAGGGGGCGTGGCAGAGGATTTTACAGCAGATTGCTCGTTCGCCTTGCGTCCACAGGGGCTGTAGCAATAGGGTCCGATGAAGAAACACCCAGCAAATCCCAAAGCCGATGTGTATTACCCACAGAAAATAAGTTCATTTAGGGATTGAGAACTTAATTTGGAAAAAAACATGTGTGATTTAATCAGTCGTGCTTACCACTCCCCACCACAGGGCATCGGCATAACTGCCAAACTCATTGGTTCCATTTGCATCGACAGCGTCCTTCTCAGCCAGGTACACGAAATAGGAGGAGAAGATCAAGCCCAGAAACCCAATGTACAAGGTCGTTATCAGCTCCTGGAAAAGACACAGCTTTCAAGAACGTTTCTGCAAACCAAGTGGGTCCATGAGTTCAAGGACTTCATTAAAGGGTCTGTGTTATAGTAATTCAGCTATGTACCTGAGTAATTAAAGTCTGTATTAAAGGTACAGATTGTGGAGAAGCACTGCATTTTATTCCTAAAACTGAGACAAAAAAGAAATTTTCAAGGCAATAAAACTGAAATGTCAGTCCGCATGAATCTTGCCTCCTGTGTCTTTTTGGTTTGGTGTATTTTCTCCTCAGACAGAAGACAGAAGCAAATGCATTGAGGGTGCCTGACTTTCAGCCAGGATTTTTCAAACTAATGAACGACATTATTTCTCCGGTATAGTGTTACAGTGGGAGGCAGCTCTGGTTCCAGCCATTGAAGGACTGTGTTTCATCTTGTGTTTTGGTTGTTGAATTCAATCATCTTTACTTAAAGTGATCCATCTGCTAAATCACAGGTGACTAACAATCAGATGGCATTAAGACTCGTAATGTCACAGAATGGAACAGCCTTGTCTAACCTTGCCTACTGTAACTGTGGTGTGAGGCAGAGTTGAAATACCACTAAAATTATTGTAATCGAGGATGAGTTTACAACTATGTTTGCAATTATAAAGAATAAGTAATTTATCCAGCATGACCTAATCCTGCCCCTCAAAGCAGCTCATGCACTGCATACACTATACTGCACCTGTACAAACAGCACAGGATATTGTATTTCATCCCATTAAACATGATTGTGTATTCAGATCATAAAAAGTATTTGTGCTGTGTCCTGCATCCTATTATCTTGGGTGTACATAGCATTTGTGTTCTTGTGTGATCACAGACCAGCCTTCCATTTCAAGGGTATTTTTAATATTTTGAACAGTAAAGAAACAATTCAACAAAGCTCTGTAAGTAGGACTTTAAAACACTTTTTGTTCTGAAATTTGTGACTTTAAATTTGTGCTTATGTAACCTCTACATCTCGAAATGATGACAGAAACATGATGACCCAGTTCTATTAGGGTAATTTTGTTATCACGAAGAAAAGATATTTGTGCTCTGGAATCAGTCAAGATAGCTTATTGAGAAGCAACAAGATACACTGTGGCTACTCAAGTCCTACACTGACAGGCTCAAGGAACTGGACTTACTTAAGCTTTAACAGAGAACTAGAAGAGGACCTGATACAAGTATTCAAAATCCTCAAAGGCCCTGACAAAGTCATCTCAGAGCTCTTCTTCAACACGAATGGTTAAACTCGATCCAGAGCATGCAACGGGAAACTACGTGGAAGTATATATAAAATAAGAACAGGAGGCACATCCCTATCCAAAGGTTCATGGGAGTGTGAATCAAGCTCCCCAGCCTTGTGGTTGAAGCCAGTACCCTAGTTTCTTATAAGAAATAACTGTATGAGATCCTGAGATCAATTAAATTCTAGCTACACTACTGGGATAGATGGACAAAATGGCTTCCCTTCGTTTGTATCCTTTATTATCGTCTTATGTTCTTGTGTTTCAAGTAAGAAAGCGTATTTTACGAGAAGTAGATTTCTTCCATTAGCCCCCACTCCCCTTTCTGTGGGAGAAGTGAAGGATTAAATAACAAACTCAAGCCAAAAGAAATAACCCGTTTGGTGGCCTGAACACGCAGTTTGCTCCCCAGACAAAAGCAGGAGGCTGGAGACCAGGGTGGGGTGTGCCAAGGCAAGAGGCCTAATCCCTGTGATTAAGGTGTCACGCTGGGAGGCCCACCTGTCGATGGATGAAAACAACAGACCCCAGCAGACGCCAGGTACCCCCCTGACGGTCCACGTGGAGCATTCGCAGGATCTGCAGGAACCGGATCCCTCTGGAACGCAGGGAGACAAGAACGGTTTTCTCTGCTCGTTAAAGCAAACTTGCTTTGGTGCAGGTTCTTAAGGCTGCTGAGGCACAATCAACACTACATGATATACCACCAGGTTAATACCACTGCTTTGCCCCATTCCCATCCAAGAATCATCTAAAGTAAACCTGGCAATGCAGAGTGGAGGCTTAAAAATACGCAAATGTGCTAAACTCAAAGTTTCACTTCAAATGAGGTACAGTCTTTTTGAAGTAAAAATTGTGCTGTTACTGTGTTAAGAAAGCTTTACTACACAGAGTCTGAAGTTTTGTGATGCTCCAGCTACAGGCTGGTTTTACACTAAAGGTTTTAAACGGATTCTCTCTAATGTAAGAAGAGGGGAAGAAGTCTGTTTTGAGATGAAGCCATGAGATGAAGTATTCTAAGCTCACTGGAATTTAAAACATGAACAAAGAAACAAATGAACAAGACGTATTTTCAACACTTACCCTGAATCTCTGAAGAGTGACAGTAGTGAGACTAAATAGGATGGTACTGTATTTTAACCATGTTTTGAAAGTTTTTAATACTGACTTATACAGCTTTTAACAGAAGTTTGACAACCTAATTTGGTGGTCATGTGTTATGACAGAAATAATACTCAGTACTATATGCATACTGTAGATCTAGAACGATCTAACAGGGAGCACACACAGACACTGTTAGAAAACATTATTACCTGACAGCAGAAGTGGCAAACACTTGTCCATTGGACCCCACACTAAGCACTATGATGGAGGCAATAACCACAATCAAATCTGAGGGGAGAGAACAGGAACACATTGACAGTCCTAGTAAACAGCACATAGGTAAAATGAGCACTGGAGGACATTTTCTTCTAACTTAAAGGGAAGTCATCTGAAGAGGAAGAGGATATATCTAAAATCAACACAGATCACAGGGAAACAACTCTGAGAACAAGAACAGATAAAACTTTATCCCCATTTTAGTGTTGCTGTATTCATCTTGTTCTAATCAACCACATAACTGCCGTGAATAACCTTGCAAAGCTGAAATTGGCTAGTTTTCTCTCTACAATCGGGGGTGCTGGACAAATAAAGTGGAACTCGAGAGTTAATCCTCACCCTCCCCTCTGTCTCTGAGCGCCTTTCTTTCCCATGACTGCTAGACCCCATTAATCTCACACCTCCTTATTCCCTGATCGGCAGACAGGCTTCTTCCCTTATCTGGAGGCTCCTTCGCTTTCCCCATCCGCCCTGCCCTCCCCCATTCCCAGTAGTGTCTGAGCAGTACCGCAAGCTTGCAAGCCTCACCACATGCAGGTGCTTAAAATGGGTATTTTTTAGATCCGTCTGTCCTTTTGAAGTAATACAGCAGCCTATCACAAACACAACTTATTGATCAACTCAAGCACAGGAAAAAGGGTCACATACAGAAGCACTGGAATCTTGAGTCTTACATAGAAGTCGGGATTATTAATCATCTTTGCATACACATCTTTGATTCACTTATTGCTGAGTGAAGAATACTGTTTCATGTGAAGGAGCCAATAGTTTGCTTTAGTACTTTGACAGCAGAACCTATTTTTGCCATAAACTGTAAATGAGCTTCAGAAGTCTGAATGGTTGTAGCGCGTTCTTTAATGTGCCCTTGCTGGAAAACACTGTGCAGTAGAGTGGCCGTCCTGCTTTGCTGGTTCAGAGATGATGTGCTTACTCAGGGGATGAACGGGGCGATGTCGTGCTGGAGAACAACAGGGGTGACACTGTGGCGAGTTGTTCTGCTCACCAATAATGGAGATGGGTTTCCTGGCAAAGCGGAGCCTTCCCCGAAATCCCACGTACTTGCTGCGGCACCCTGCCGACCACAGCCTCACCACATACTCCACCCCGAAGAAAACCACCAGCACGATCTCCTGCAAAACAGAGCACAGCCCAAGGTCAGACCAGCAGGCTGCGCCGCAAGGAAAACCAAGCCAAGTCCCTGTCGCGACACTTTGTGTTCAACCTTGCAGTACTCTTGAGATATTAACTTGAGCACCGCCAGAAATAGGGGACAGTACAGTACTTTTCCCTCTTGTCCACTGTGCATCAGAGAGGTATAAATATCTGCTTTCCGTGTGACAGCCTGCATGTGAAACACTCGTCTGTGACAGTCTGACATTTCGCTTAATATAATCACCTCCCTTTTCAATTAACATCACAGAACTTGGAGGCACAGGGTTAGCACTGCTGCCTCACGGTGCGGGTGTTCCCTGCATGAGGTTTACATGTCTCCCCATGTTTAAACAGGTTTCTTCCCAGAATCCAAAAACATGCTTGGAGGTTAACTGGATCCTGCGGAACTGGCCCTGCAGTGGGTGTGCCTGTGTCCTGCTCACAGCGATGAGGTGGGCTCTCGGCACTGTGATCCTGCACTGGACAAGCAGCAATGATAACTGTGGGTACCATTGTACTACAAAGACTTCTGTCTCTCTCCGTATATGTAGATAAAAAAGGAATTCAAAGCAGTTGTATTTTTACAATTAAAATAATTTAATACAGAAAAAGAATTAAACCAACTTTAAAGAAACTGATCATTTAAAAAAATGTCACGGCCAAACAAAGAACACCATAATAAATCAGAGAGATAAAGTTAATTTAAACACAACAATTGACTTTAGAACATTTTCATATATAAATTATTGCCAGTTAATTTAAAATGAACAATGAAAAGGAGTAAAGCAGTGTGTGTGTGACAATATAGTGATTACAGGCAGGTGTACTTACCACTTAGAATTAGAAAATACTTCTAAATTAAAGAATCAGTCAAAAACCATTTAGGTATCAAATTGATTTCAAGTCTCCAACATGGGAAACAAAATTCAGACAAAGAATCACAGTGAGCAAGACTGCATAGGCATCAGCCTAATTAACAAGTAACTACAATATTAACACAGCACAACATTACTTCATGGCTCGACATTGATACATGTCCAGTATCAAAATCCCTTTAAACATTTTTTCATTGTTACAATGTGCTATATAGAACAAAAAGGTCAAAATGTCAAAATCTCTTAATACGAGGCATACTGTGTTTGCAATGATTGTTTTGTTGGTACCAGTCAAAGTCATCTTGGATGCAGAGCTAATGACTTTCCCATGTTTGAGCACAAAGTGAGAGCTGCGCTATTGAATTATGCCAGATATGAGTTATGACTTGGCTGAGGTGCCATCTGTTTTGCAACTCTGGAAATCATGGCGCTTTTGTCCAAGAAGAGTGAGCAGAGTGACACCGAAAACATGGGGGCAAATAAGCTCTGAAAAATGAGAGGTGTCTCAACTCCCAGCATGGGAAACAAGGCATTCGGACTGGAAAGAAGCCAGCAAAGAACCAAAGGTTACCTTGTACAAATATCCTCACATAATAGCAAAAACCAACAGGACCTGCCCAAGCGCAGTGGGCAGACGGACACGCAGGCGGTGCTGGAAACGCAAGGACATCCTGGGGACAAAGGGGCAGACAGGCCTCAATGGTGACTGGCGGCCTGTGTCGGAACGGCAGGCAGGCATGTGAAGTGGACAAGGGCGGTTTCGATTGGCTCCGGGGAGCGGGGAGATGGGCCAGTCGGCTTCATGCCAACAGGCATTTTTCACCGCTGATGCAGAGATAAAGGGCCACTGCCCCAGCAGAGACCTCTGCTTCTGAGGGAACACTGGGGGTTGAAAGAGCACAAGCTGTTCTGCGTGGTCCTACATAGCTTCCCCCTGTATCCCCGAGCAACCGTAACGTACCCCTCCGCCCCCCCCACCCCCTGGAAACTGGCTCAGATGAGAAGGCATTTTCAATATCGCAGCCCTCCAGCAATCCAGCACCAGCCCTAGGGGGGGAGTGATACATTTCTTGCCAGTGTTGTTCTGCATGACTGCTAAAGCAGAACTTTGCGTGTCCCTCCCCCCCACCTCAGCCTCTCAGAAACTGGCCTGAGGCGTCATTCCAGGTTTTAAACCCCCCAACACTTAGCCCACCCCCAGGCCTGCCCTCTGCATTCACATCTTTATGTTTCTGTCTTAATCGTTTGGAGACAACTTTTAAAACAAAGTTAGAGGGCCATCTCCCTCTTACTCCAGGGCACACGTCAAGATACAAGGCAAAAAGAGCCAAGCAACTCTTGAGTTAGGCCTGCATCCTGCCCCTGTCAGCACCTCACACTGCAGTCTTCTGTTTCCAGAGCTGTCACTTTGCCTGCTGTCTAACCTTCGTAAGTAAATGCGTTCTGACTGTGTGAAGCACAGAAAGCTCTGTGGGCTTCACTGGACCCTCGATGTTTGATTTTTCTGACAGAGTGCGAAAAACATCAGCAGTTGGCAGATCTTTTGCTTATTGGGCTGCCTATTACTGAAAGTCTGTCCAAAATCACATTGGCATCAGTCTGTCTGTTACTGATGCTCTTGAGTCAGCTGCCTTTCCTAAGTGCCAGGTGTGCATGTTTGAACGCAATTAATTAACTCTGTCTCACTACACTAGAAAGCAGGAATGAACATACTGACTTGACTTCTAATCTTGTTTTGCTTGTATAAAATCAAAGCAAGCAGCCACAATGTTTTAAACTACATTGTATATTTATCTTTAAAATACAATTTTCCAAGGGATTTGTTGAAAAATATCCGTTTCACTTCAAAAAATGCAATCAGTTCAAGTTTACTTTGATAACACCATTAGGTTCTTTTCAAAATACTACCATAGTGGACATTTTCAGTGTTATTTTAGTTGAGATTTCATATGGATTTTAAGGTGAAAGGACCATAACCCCAGCACAATACAGTGCAGCTCGTTATTGTGTCTTCTGGCCTTTGCTTTGACCTCTGATAAAATAACGTCTCTGCCCCAATGCAAATTGCACTGAGTGTCTGTTGCGTTGAATGGCTGGGAATGGCTATCTCTTTGGTGCACATTGCAAAAATACAGACAGATGGGCCATTAATTAAAAGAGGACCAGCTCATTTGCAAAACAAGCTCCAGTGTTGAACTGGGAAGATCTCCATGTTAGAACAGGGAAGATGATGCACACTGGGCCATCTGTGTGCTGCTCGCTTATTGACCCTGGAACCTCGTCCAATTCCTTCTTCAAGGATGTGTATGAATAAGCAGCCAGCAAATGGCCACTTAGTGCCCCACACTCTACAAAACACATTCCAAATCACAAGTTTTGGGTCCACAGTTTGGAAATGACTGTTATTATAGAGACAAAACTGAATTCCCTGGGGTGGGTTTCAACACTGACACAGAACTAACTCCTAGGGTTGGCTAAATTTTTAATTGGCAATTATGTTTAATCACTTGTCTAATTCATGATACCTCAAGTCCTAAAAGTCTATTCATGGAAGTTATGATATCCTTTTTCTTCATATACTTCTGAGGTTAATCACTTTTACTGGCCTCCTTTCCAAATAGTAATCTTTTCTCTAAACTTTTATGTTTGATGTTAAAGCATCTAGACTCTTGATGAAGCCCTTTATCATAACCAGTGACCTCAGCCTGCATGTCCAGAATAAACATAGCATTCTAAAGTGGCCTAGATTTTAAGACAGTACATGAGAATCACTTCTTAACTTGATTGGCTAAATAAAGATTTTATTATTGCAAGTTTAGGGCAGCACTGTAACACAGTAATAGGTTTATTCCATGCTGAAAAAAAAAGAGAACACAACGTTTCGGCCGTGGAGCCTTCTTCAGGTGAACCTGAACCTTTATCTCTGCATCAGCGGTGAAAAATGCCTGTTGGCATGAAGCCGACTGGCCCATCTCCCCGCTCCCCGGAGCCAATCGAAACCGCCCTTGTCCACTTCACATGCCTGCCTGCCGTTCCGACACAGGCCGCCAGTCACCATTGAGGCCTGTCTGCCCCTTTGTCCCCAGGATGTCCTTGCGTTTCCAGCACCGCCTGCGTGTCCGTCTGCCCACTGCGCTTGGGCAGGTCCTGTTGGTTTTTGCTATTATGTGAGGATATTTGTACAAGGTAACCTTTGGTTCTTTGCTGGCTTCTTTCCAGTCCGAATGCCTTGTTTCCCATGCTGGGAGTTGAGACACCTCTCATTTTTCAGAGCTTATTTGCCCCCATGTTTTCGGTGTCACTCTGCTCACTCTTCTTGGACAAAAGCGCCACGATTTCCAGAGTTGCAAAACAGATGGCACCTCAGCCAAGTCATAACTCATATCTGGCATAATTCAATAGCGCAGCTCTCACTTTGTGCTCAAACATGGGAAAGTCATTAGCTCTGCATCCAAGATGACTTTGACTGGTACCAACAAAACAATCATTGCAAACACAGTATGCCTCGTATTAAGAGATTTTGACATTTTGACCTTTTTGTTCTATATAGCACATTGTAACAATGAAAAAATGTTTAAAGGAATTTTGATACTGGACATGTATCAATGTCGAGCCATGAAGTAATGTTGTGCTGTGTTAATATTGTAGTTACTTGTTAATTAGGCTGATGCCTATGCAGTCTTGCTCACTGTGATTCTTTGTCTGAATTTTGTTCCCTGAAGAAGGCTCCACGGCCGAAACGTTGTGTTCTCTTTCTTCTTTTTTTCAGCATGGAATAAACCTATTACTTGTTCCTTTGCAGCCTACGCACGCTGACGCAGCTACCCACCTGAACTGTAACACAGTGCTTAGCTTTGCTGCCTCACACCTCACATTCATTCTCCTATGGGTACTGTGTTTTCCTCTCACAGACCAGGCATATTGGTAGGTTAACTGGCTTCTGGGACAACTGGCCCTGGTGTGAGTGTGTGTGTCTGGAGTCCCCTCGAAAGTGTACCCAGCCTGGCACCCACTGCTTACTGGGTTAGGATCTGGGTCTAACTCCATCTCAACCCTGTATTCGATAAAGCTGTAAGAAAACAGATGTGTTACAGGTTTAGTTT